TTTTTTTATAATTCAATCAAAAGTAATTAGATATCTGCTAAATGACAATTTATAATTGCAAAACAATAATAAGCAATTATTTAAAATGCAGCAGCAGTAGCAGCGCGCAGCAGCATCTTATTTTATTCATGCCTAGTTTTGCACAACAAAAACAAGAAAACAAAAGACGTCATTTCCAGCAATGCAATGCAAACAAATGCATGCCTCCCTCGTATTCTCCCTCTCTGTCACACACACAATGTCTCTAACAGTAGTAAGTATACTGTTGATATATCAACAGGCCTCACTCCCACCCTATGTCTCTGAGAGTATCAATAATTCACACACTCTCTCTCTCTCTCTCATCACACCCGAAGTACAGGTGAGAGCCACCGTTGTAATGGGGAAGGGGAGTGGCAAAATTAAAGTTTATTAACACTTGAGAAAATAATATGGAAAAACAACAACAATTGTAAACAATAACAAGATAAATCAAAAGGAAAAATAATAATAACAATAACAACAACAAAGATTAATACAATGACGCGGCACACATAAGATGCAACCGAAAAATCACGTAGACAAAAAACACACAACGTAGAAGAAAAGCTGGAATTGCGCCTAAAAAAAGAGATGATAGCCGACAAAGCCAAATACAACAAAAACAACAATAACAACAAAATGCCATGTATTGCAAATACAAACAAATTAATTGTCAATTTCAGTTGACACGTTTTCCTGTTGAGACACGTCATCGCTTGGAGGGGGAAAAACAAATGAGCGAGGGCTTTGACTAACAATAATAACGAATTGTTGGCAATGTATGTATGTAAGGGTCATCTACATCAAAAATACGTTATCGGAGAATCGAAATTTAGTATTATTTAGGTTATTATCTATAAGCATCATAGGTAATTTACAAAAATTATCTATGTTAATTGCACACAATAATTAAAAAAAAATTGAATTTTTATCTAGATAATTTATCCAGATATTGTATCTACATATTTTAACCAGATAATTTATGTAAGTAAATTATCGATTTATTTTATCTAGATAAAATACCTAATTTATATAAATTATTTAATTTATTTAGATAATTTATATAAATTATTTAGTTAATTATTTATTTTTTACAAAAAAATTATTTGGAATAAATAACCCATTTTTTCCATCTCTACATTAAAAAAAATCTTCAGATAATTTATCTATCTTATCTTGATATCTCATATTCGTCCTTATTCAATTTCTTTTGTTTTTTAAATCCCCTATGCATTTCAAAATAATCCTCCCTAAAAGGTTTTGCATTTAATTTCCAGATTATTCATCACCTGTCCCATGGGCACAAACACCCTCACACACACCAGGGAGTTAATGACAATAATCCCAAATACCTTGTTGTTTTCTTTTTGACAGCCATTCCGCCATAAAGATATAATGAATGCCATGCTGATAAAGGTCACTGCTCACTAGCCATTATTGAAAAAAATGTGGCCTACTAAGAAAAAATTGCGTCTTCCAAAAAATAAGCAAAACAAAACAAGACCAATATTCTATAGAAATATTTTAGCCATGATTAAGCAAAGCTATACATAATAACAACAACAAAGAAAAAACATAACATCTTTGTGTGTTAAATGGGTTGCCACACTGGAGACCAGTAGAGTAGAACAATAAACCCAACAACAAGAAAAAAAGAAAAAATACAGTTGGCAAAAAATTGATTCTCTGAAACAAAGAACAAACCTGGGGAGTTGGTTGGTTCGTGTTTCTTTGTTCTTTGGTTGCAGTTGCTGCTGCTGTTACTGTTGTTGTTGCTGCTGTTTTTCTTTGCTCTCTGTTGTGACGTCAATATAGATGTGATGGAAAATAAAGAGGGGTTGAATTTTGACATCCACCTGGATTTGCTTTTTTAATTAAAAACAGGGTTTTCTTCTTGATAAACAGAATGGGTATCAAATTGTGAAAACAAACGGCTTGCTTTGCTAACGGTATCGGGGACAATAGGGATAGTGAGAGGGAGAGAGCGTGTGTCCGTTAATGGTTGCCTACAATAATGACAAGAGAGTGGGAGAAATGTATGTTGGAAAATACGGTGCATTGACATTGAAACAAAATATCACATTTCTAACGGTCTGGCAGAAAGGGTGAAAATGAGGGGGGAGGGAGAGAGAGAGTGAACAACTGTTAATGGGTTTTAAAATAATCACAGAGAGTAAAAGAAATGGATGCTTGATTACGTGTATTAATGATGTTAGGCATCAAAGAAGAAATGCATTTCTAACGGTCTGGGAGATGAGGGGGAGGGAAATAGAGTAAAAAACCGTTTATCCGTGTTACAATAACAACAGGGAGAAGGGGAAAATGTATGCTAATGTATGGGGGAATTAATGCAGTTAAGTTGTCGAGAAAAAAGAAAAAATATTTTCCTTTTTCAAAAGAGATCCCCACTCTCTCTCTCTCTCTGTCACTACTAGTGAATAAGAGAAATTAACAGAGATATTGATATTTAATGAAAGCCGTTTATGGCAGTTATATTTCCACGAGGTAAATTTATGGAAAAAAATTGAAAAAAGAAATTGTATCCCTCTCTCCTAGTGATTAAAAGAATTTCTCAGAGATAATGATATGAAATGAAAGCCTTTATTGCAGTTACATTCCAACAAGTTAAATTGATGGAAAAATTAAAAAATTGGAAATTTAATAACAAAAAACGACCAAAAATATTTTTTGGCCTTTTTTTTTTTGTTAAATAAAATTTCCATTTTTTTTCATTTTTGGCCTTAATGGCAATATAACTTCCCCAACTAACCAAGTGACTATCACACTAAGCCTTACAATTAATACGAAAACATTTTTCGATGAAGTAAAGAGAGGGATAGAGAGAGGGGGAGTAAAGGGAAAATATAAACAAAGCTTGTTGCTATTTTTAGAACGCCATGTCTTGTTGTAGCACAACAAAGACGTAGAAAAATAATAATAAACAACAAAAACAAAATAAAATAGCCTACAATAAAACTTGTGACTAGAGAATAAGAAAAAGCAAAACAAAAAGGCAAAGCCAGCAGATGTTTTTTATTTTGGAATTTCAAGCAAACCACAACAAAAACCGCATACAAATAAAATCATGTTTTAGCTTGGTGCAAATAGACGGGGGTGGAGGGGGTTTGTGGTTGTGGTGGCACGTATTAATTTTGTTGATTTTTTTTTGTATTTTTTTTTTTTTTTGTTATTTTTATTATTATTACTTTTTTTCTTTTTTTATTTCGATTTAAACCACAAAAAAATTTATATTAGAAAAGGGGGGAGTATGTACGTAATAAATATTTAGTTTATTGGCTGGCTAGCCATGCCGCCTACGTGACCAGTGTCAACGTTCGGAAATGTGAAAACCAAAACAAATAAAAAACCAACCCCTATATTTCCGTTCGAAAACAATTCAAAAGGGGGATGATTTTGAGAAAATTGTTTTTTGTCGTTGTTTTTGTTGTTGATGGCTCCATTTCTGTTCCCTTCCACCAAAAAAAGGTGTTGCTGCGTATTATTTAAGTGGAACGTGGGTTAGCATACTTATGTGAAAATTATCATGAATAACTGCGGAAAATAAGGCAAAGGAAAATTAATTTGAAATGCTAGTTAAGAGTAGCAGATGGATGGTTGGTTGATTGGTCGGATGCATAAATATGTGACCTTAATAAAGGAACTTTTTTTAGAGGAATTTAAGGGCAACAGTGTGGAATTTAAAAATATCTTTGCTAATAGACTGAAATTTTTTTCCTATTATTTTTTTTTTTTTTTTGTTTTTGAAAAAAAAAAATTATTTGAATTTTTTAAAATAATTAATTTACACAACTATTTTTAAGAAAAAAATAATAGAGAAAGGGATTTTTTAATTTTATTGAAATTTTTTTGCAATATGGTTTTTAAAAAAAGCTTTAATTTCAGAATTTTTTTAGTTATTACTTTTATTTTAATTTTTTTTATATTTGTTAATTTTTTTTTTTATTTATTTATTTTTTTAATTTTTTTATTATTATTTATTTTTATTTATTTTTTTTTTTTTTTGAATTATTATATTTTTTATTTAAATATTTTTTTCCATAAATTTTATTTTTGTTTATTATTTTACATTTTTTAGCTTCTAGACATTTTAATGCATTTTCTATTTTTTTTTTTAATTTCAATATAGTGTTTTTTCAATTTAATTAAAAATTGACTTTAAAATTGCATATAAAAAGTTTTTTTGCCATTTTAATTCACTATAACTCAATTAGAGCCACTGTAAACCTTAGAAAAACTCAAAAAAAAGCTCTCTTTCTCCCTCTCTCCCCCCACAACACAACACACAATTTTTTTCACACACACATCTCCCAACAACAACAAAAAACATAAACAATGGCAATTCATAACAATGGTTAGCTTGCTAACTCCTGCTCTTATTTAAATGAGGGAGGGAGGAGAGATAAAAACAAAAGAAATAAAAACAACAAATACAGAGCTTAACTTTCATGGTCGGCAACGACGTCGTTGTCGTCGTCCATTAAAGAGTGAAATGAGAAACGAAGAACAAAAACAAAGACGACGACGAAAGCCTACTTTGATGATAATTTTGTTTTCTTGTTATGGCAAAAAAAAAATGCCAACAATAAAATTTTGTATACATCAAAGAAAAGCCAAACAAAAACAAAGAATGAAAAGACGAAGAAGAAAAAAACATGAAAACAGAAAAGAAATATATCAACAAAAAATAAAAAAAGCCAAACCAACAACACACACTTAAGTGTGTGTGTACTGGGAGTATGTGTTTATGTTTTTTTTGCTTTGCTGGTGGAAGAAACAATGTAAATGTAAAAGATGAAGAAGAATACCATAAAAGTTCAAAAAACAAACACAACAGCCCAGAAATAACAACATGGCTGACGTTTGGTTTCCCCACAAATATGGGCAAAACAAGCTTTAGGCAATCTGTGTTGTTTATTTCTTTACAAATAAATTTGAAAAAAAAAAAATCAAACACTTACCGCCCAGCAAATCTTCAGTCATTTTTGGTGGAGTTGAAGTCATTTTGTTTAGATTAAAAAACGTTGAAATAAATAAAAAAACGTTAACGAAATATTTTTTTCCTTTCACACCGTTATTTGTGTGGTTTATTCGTTCGTTCGCTTGTTCGTTCTTTTCTGTTTCTCTTGTAATAAAATTCAACAGGAACAAAAAGGGAAAAAATACACACAGAAATCAACAACAACAAACAAATTGCGTATTTGCCGTTAAAGCCTATAATATTTTTTCTTTTTTTATTATATTGCGTTTCTGTTTCCGGTTCGTTCTTTATTTTCACTTAAATATTTATCGTATAATATATTTTATT